TTCCAGAAGGCCTTTTCTTTTCTTTTTGTTTAAGACAGGCTCAGTGTAGCCCAGGCTGTCAATCCTCACGCCTGGGGTCACAGGCATGCACTACCAGGCCTAGCTGGAAAAGTTCTTGAAGAGCTCAGGAAGGGAAGAAGGGAAACAGGGAGGTAAATCCTTGCTTCACAGAGTTCAGTTGTTAACTTAAACAATTTGTGTGAATTTTATGCCATAATGCCTGGCACATAAGTACTATTCAATATTAGTTTCTTTTCCCACTCTGTCTAAAAATGCAAAAGTTGCCTAGGAAACAGTATGTGCACTGATGGGTGCCGTTCGTTTGTAGAGCATGTTCATGTAGCAAAGCCTAAAAAAATGGAACCAGGCCTGGGAAGTTCATTTGAGAATCAAGGAGGGTTTTTTAAATCTGTTTTTATTGAATTTTTGTGTATTTCATACAGAATATCTCAAACAATCTTAATCATCTTTATGCCCCTGTTCCCACCACATCCTCCCATAGCCTCCCGCACTGGGACCCGTATATTCTGTCATCCATGTTAAGACCCACTGTGCTAAGTCAGTGTCCCCAGACGTTCCCCAGTGCTAGTCCATCTGCTGAGTCTAGTCAGCCTATCTAGAGTCCCTTGTTTTAGGAAGATCAGTTCTTCCTCACCCAGCAGTAATCAGTTGCCAGTATTTCTTCAGCTGAGATTGGTGTATGCTGTTCATTTCCCCAATTCTATGCTGGGTTTTTGTCTGCCCAAGTTTGCATGGGACTTGTATATGCTGACACCATTGCCATAGAATCTTACGAGCAGGTTCCCAGGAGCTTGTACTATTCTGTTTCCGTATGGTCGATGCACCAAGGAGGGCTCTTAAAGTTTGATAATTTGATGCTAGTGTAAGAAAAAGACGCTGGGATAATGAAGTGCATGGGGAACCTGAACAGGCAGGAGAAGTGTGGTGGCTCACTGGGACTGAAAAGCTTGTAACAAGAGGAGAAGCTCGTATGCACCACCTGCAGGACCATGAAGGAATCCCAAGCCAGTGGACCCCAGGGATCTGTGGTCCCAGCCTTGAGGCTCTAACCATGTTATTAAAACACCAACTCGAGCTATTTCTTTCTGTTAAAGCAACAATTCCCCTTTGTATTCTTGAGTGTTCCATTCCTGGAAAATAAATAAAAATGACTTATTTAACTGATATTTTTCATGTCTTTTTCCAATAGCAGTTACCTGCAGACTCCTTCAAATGACTTTGTACTGTTTGAAAATAATTGGTTTAGGTCCAACCCAGTTAGGCATATTAGAAAAGGGAATACACTGTGCAAATTGCTCACAACATGGCTGGGTGGAGAGAAGCAATCAGTGAGACAAAAGCCACTGGGGAGCTTCCCTTTGCCTGTATTAGCCTGGTACAACCAGATGGCATGCAATTGGGGGCCTAGTCCTTTTCCTCACTTAAGGGAACCAAGCATCAGCTCGCTAGGGTTGTGGCTTAAATTAGTCACAAACCAAGGGAAATTTGGGTTGAATATGATGAAGATCATTGTGTGTGTATATGAAATTGTCAAAGAATAAATTAAAAAATTTTTTTCTAAAAGAAATAGTCATGAGGGGCTGGTGAGATGGTTCAGTGCTTACGAGCACTTACTGCTCTTCCAGAGGACCCAGATTCAATTCCCAGCACTCACTTGACACCTAACAACTGTTTGCCGTGTAACTACAGTTCCATGGGATCCAACACCCTCTTTTGGCCTCCATGGGCATTGCACATGCATGGTACACTTACATACATGCAAGCAAAACACTCATACAAATAAAATAAAAATCAATAATTTTCTAAACTATTTTTTTAATTTCATAAACTAGCATACATGTGCCAATTATGACATAAAATATAGTTATGACATTACTAAGACTCAGAGGAAATTTGGAAGCAATATAAAAGTTGACCTAACCCTTGTTGAGTTGCTCAGTTTCTTTAAACTTGGAAATTTTTCTTGGTAAATACAGTTTTTCCATGTATGTACATTTAAGATACATTTGAGACAAATTCTGTGAGCATGAATGTTTGAAAGGAATAAGCAGGAGCTGATGAGGAAAACCTTCATTTGCATTTTTCCTGCCATGTTGGAAATGTCTTGGGTATAATGTTGCATGAATGTAGCTTTTAGCATTTAATATGACTTAAACATTCTCCTTCTGCTTGAGTCTATCAAGCATTTGTTATTAATGACTTATTTTTTTTCTGTCTACCAAGTTTACTGAGGAGGAAAAATCTGTCGAAGCTGCCATTTGGGCTTCTCAACTCTTTCCTGTTGTCTAGGGATACACTACACTCCTCTGAAGGCTGGGATAATCCTCTTAGAACGGGATGGTTCAACATAAGCACGACGTTGTGCAGAGTATATGATCTTCAACTGGTCAGTCCATTCCTCCCTGTAGCTTCTGATCTCCCAAAAGTCCTGTTGAATCAGATAATATCCCTACAGCCATCAGAATTACCAAAACTGAGGTACTGCTAAAACTGTATCTTCCCTGATATGTTTACCTAAACACTGTAAGTGAAGTCTAAAACATTCAATCAGGAAAACACAGCTCTGAATTATTCTGAAGTTAGTCAAATCACCAGAATAAATTTATGCATGTGGTCTGCCCAGGCCTTCCAGGACTATAGCCGTGGAATGCAAACTCACCCAGGTGCCAGCTGCAGTTCAGCACCAGCTACTGTCCACTGCGGCTTAAATGCTGAGGACGCCAAAGCAAACTGGGGCATTTGGTGCTAGCAAGGATTTCAAGAACTGCCCAGATAATTGAGACCTAGACAGAGTTCTCCAGAGAAAATGAGCTGAGGGAATTCTTGGGGGTGTGGAGACCCCAGTTCCAAAGGCATTATTAACTGCCATTTCCCCTCAGCATGTACTCACCAGACAAAACAGAGGCTGCATGGAGTCTGGAACCCATGTCCAAAAGTGTTATATTCAAATCACAGAGTCTTTCTGTGCTTATAAAGTTTGACATAGAAAACATACCTCCTGATTCCTGAAGCAAAGCCTTTTTCCTGCCTTGCTGGCACTCTTCAGAATTCCCAGTCTCCACTATTATGTTCAAGACAAAGTATTAGACAGGCCTCCCTGGGCCAGCAGAGATCTTGCCTCACTCTTTCCCATAAAAGGAAAAGTAGCCACATCAGAACCAGTTTCCAAGTTTGAGTCACTTCTTCACAAAGAAAAAGATGAGCGAGTGGAAGCAGAGGGTGCATGCCTTCTCTTAACATGTTTTACAAGTGACTGTCTCAACTCAGCTCATAAATTCTGCCTACATCTCACAAGCTACTTGCTTACCCACATCTCTGCTTAATACAGCTTATGAATTTTATCCATTTATTTGTTTTTCTTGTCTTCTCTAGCAGAGCTGAATATTTTCAAATCCTACAGCAAACATACACTGTAAGCAGAAAGACACAGGGGGAATACATAACAGTCAGAGGAAGGTTTTGTGCCATAGTGGCAGGAGAAATAGAAACCAAAACTGAGAGTAGCTGAGTCACAGTAATACAGGAGTTTGGAGCAGAACGTGTGGGTGCAAACCAACAAGGGATGACAAAGTTCCAGTTGTGAATGTCATGGTCCTCCGAAATCTTTGGGAAGCCTCTCTTCAAAGAGTTCCTTTCTATTCCTTTGAAAGAGATAACTCATAGTCAGTGCATATATATCCTAGGAAGCCATCTTTCCTGACCATGCCCTCCGACTTCCAGACATCTCTCTCCCATGCTGGAAACCACCTCGGAGCAGGAATCAGACTGGGAAAAGCAACATGGGATTATGGCTGTGCTTGAGCGGCTGTTATCACACAGTTAATCTTGAAAACAAAGTAGAGGGGTTTCAAGCACACCTACGTCAATAAGCTTTTTCTAGAAACTAGACCCCAGGAGGGATTTATACCAGGGGCCATTTAAGAGGAACAATAGGCAGACATGGCCGGCTGAACACAGTTTTCTCCTATGACTTCACACCAGCCATGGAAATGTTCTAATGAACCTTATTTGTGCCAATACTCCAGGTCAAGAGCTGTGAACACTGCAGTAACTGCAAGGGGGCATAGCCTGTTTTCTGTTGCAGATAACACTATACCAAAGACTAGGAAGCTTTAAAATAAAGAGGTTTGTTTTAGCTTCTGATTCTAGAGATTCAAGGGGAAAGGGCTGCATGTGGAATGGTTCTCTTGCTAGTAGTTCTGAGGTGGTATAGGACATCACATGGTGAGTGTGTGTGTGTGTATGTGTGTGTGTGTGTGTCCCTCTCCTAATAAAGCTTCAAGAATTCAATCATGGAACCCCACCCTGGTGATCTTATCTAGCCCTTATCACTTCCTAAGGGCTCCACTTCTAAACACCATAATCCAATTAGGTTTCCTTCCCTGAATAACTCATAGTGGGAATTAAATTCCAATATGAGATTTGGAAGATACAAACCATGTTCACACCACAGAAGGTCTGCAAACCTCATAAAATTAGAGGCCATATTGAGGACAGGTGCATTTTTATGGTTATACACTTCAGAAGTGCCTCAGACCTGCAAGAAGGTCAGGGTACCACCTCACTAAGGGCATTCTTGCCTGACCTCGAGTATTGTTTTTCAGGGCAATGACTTTTCAGGCAATCGACTTTCTGATTATCTAGAGTGAAAGATGGAGGAATCTCATAAAATTTAGGAATGGAAGTTTACCTGTCCATTGAAGCATCCTTTATGATGGAACATAAGAGATTTTACATGTTCCTCCTGCTTCAGTAATTAGAAGGCAGTGATTATGAATTCTCTGATAAAGGCTAAAGATGAGCCATATGCTTTAAATGCCAAAGGCTCTAAGGCTCCGAGAGAGAGAGAGAGAGAGAGAGAGAGAGAGAGAGACTGAGACAGAGAGACAGAGAATAGGCTTGGGCCATGGATACTCTTACTACCAGTACAAAACAACTATCCATTTAATAATTGCTACTTTATTATTTCTTTTCTTCAGAATTCCTTCTTCAACTTGCCGACAGCTCTCACTGATGAGCTCAACTGGCCCCAACTCTCTGGTGTTACTGGATTTCTGGAGTCTACTAGTGGGTATGTTTGTACACTCGCTTGCTTCAGTGTATCTGTGTAAGGAAAGAAAACAGGAAATGGAGCTTGCCCTCCAGATGGTGAACCATTATGAGTTGCTTCTAGGCCATGCATGACATAGAGCAAAACATGCCACTGATGCAGTCCTGCCACTGCAGAAGGGCATGGTATGCAGCAGTGAAAAGGGTGTGTTCCCATGGGCACGGTTTACATCTGATGGAGAATACTGAAACACATCACTGAATTTTTGTGATTCCAGGGACAGGGAATTTTACTTGATCTTTACCCCCAGAAACTAATATTATAAAAATTATGGCTAAAATTGATTGTCAATCATGAGGTCCTGTAATCATCCTGGCTTTATTTAGTCTTTGGATTTATAAAGACGGGCCACACCAAGTAAGTCAAGTTACTGATGGGTGTTGACTCAGGGCCTGAAGTGTGCTTCCCAGAACTTACACCCAACAAGGACAACTGAGATGATAGGTTTGCTAACATTTCTGGGTGGTAGAAAGCCAGACAGACAGCATCTCTCTCAACATCCCTAAATATTTATAGATGTCAATAAACATAAGGAATATGGCAAATGAAAGACTTCTTTGTGTAAACAGAAGAGAGGGCAGAGCTATGGCAGGATATAGACAGCTCTCTCAGGACCAGGCAACAACAGCAGAAAGTGCCAGAAATCAAGCCATGGAGTCAATAGGGATGGAAAATTTGTACAGGCCTGATTTACCCAAAGCTGTAAACAATAGAAACATGCAAGAGACTCCCATGTATAATTTTAGTGAGTAATTTTTTGTTTGACAAAGGATATTGCATGTGATGAATAATTTATTTATTATCTTTACTCATTTGCTTTACAAATACTTAAATATTCATCACCAATCAGACACAGATGCTATAGGAGTTCTCAGGGTGAATAAGATGTGTCCTTTCCTCCAGTCAATTACAACCAATCAAGTCAACTGAGACAAAGCAGTAATGACAACAATAAGTAGATGTGCCAACAGTGGGAGCAATTTGGGGAGCAAAGGCCTCCAACCCACAACTCCCAATATGTGTGTGCTGCTCTAATTCCGTGTTCAGGAATGTGGCTCCATTGTCACCTGGGGTACATGGCAGTGGAAAAGTAAAATGATAAACAACCCTCCAGTTATCTGTGTATGAAAATACCTGGAAGTTTCTCACTGTGAAGGTTTGTGTTAACAACAAAGAATTGATCATGAATGTTTTGTGTTCTTCAAATGGAAGCTTAAGTTTACAGGGGAACCCTACAAATCTCAGCCATCTTTTGACCTCATAAAGTTGCCTGATGTTTAGCATGGAGTAGCTTAAGTCTTTCCTCCAGCCACTCAGAATGCAAAATGAATCCACGCACCATGCCCAGCAAAACTGGTGAAAACCTGTTTCCTTATCTCTTTCCACATACAACTTAAACACACCAGTAGTTGTGATACACTTCCTAAATCTAATTTTCCCACCAACTACCCAAACTCGGTCCCTGCCTCCAAGCTGACTCTGTTCAGAGGTCTTTAGTTTGGTTGAAAGTCAGTGGGATGAGCTAGCTTCTCTCCTTCCTTCCTTGCTATGTCCTGATCTAGGACGGGCTCCCATCAGTAAAATTCCTCTAGCTCTCCAGCCTTGCAGCAGTTTCTAGCCTCCACCCCCAGCAGAACCAGTGGATAGCCAGATCTTTAGAAGTGCAGCAGTAGGAGGTAGGGTGGGGAAGGGAGTCTCCACACAAACAGCTTATAAGGGCTATGAATGGTACACAGAGAACTGCTCTCTCAAACCACATTCTGCTGCTGTAACAGAATACCACAGACTATAATTAATCTTTAAAATATGAAACTTATTTCTCATCATTTAGGAAACTAGGAAGTCCCAGATCAAGGTACAGTGGTAGGTGAAGGTCTTCTCGCTGCATCCTCTCATGGCAAGGGAATCAGGTGACCAAAGCTAGGCAGCCTGTTAGCTCTGGTCTCTTCCTCTTCATATAAGATCCTTCTAATCCCACCAAAGGGTTGCTACCCTTGTGATCTCATCTAACTGTAGTTACCTCCCTAAAGCCTCACTTCCAAGTACCTTTAACAAAGAAATTTGGAAATTAAGTTTTCTAGGCATAAACTTGCAGAGGACATGTTCAAACCATAGCAACACCTCACACTGTAAGTGGCCATCTGGGTGTGGCTTATGCGAAATGATTTCTTTTATGAACCAATCTGTTAACATAGCACCTTGCGCTCTGTATTACTATTCATAAAAGCCTCAGTCTGCTTGTGCAACTTGCTCAGTGTTGACTCCAAGTACTGCCTCAGCTGTCATACTTCTAAGGAGGTGGGAGGTATATACCACAGCTGGTCGCTCTCTTTACTTAAAACTTTTCTCTCCATGCATGATGGGACCTCCGGCTCTTTCTACCAGCTGTTTCTCTGTACTACACCTGTGTTCTCTGTCACTCATCTGGAATGAAGAAGACTACCTAACTACTTTTCTTAAAAATATATATTATTGATTTTTGTGTATTTCATACATCTTAATCATATTGAAACACCCCCTTCCTATCTGTACCTTCCCATAGCCCACCCACAGAATTCCATGCATTTTGTCATATATGTTAAGGCCTACCCAGTGATGTGAACACAGATGTCTCTCCATGTGAGTTCATCCACTGGAGCCTGTTCAATCTATCTAGCATCACTCCCTGAAAGATCAACTCACTCACCCAGAGTGGCCTCACCAAAGTTGTGGGCCTTCTGTCCATTTCCCCAGTTCTCTGCTAGGTTTTGTCTGAGTTTGCGTGGGTCTGGTGTAGGCTGTCACCATTGCTGTAAGTTCACATGAGCAAGGTCCCAGGAGCCTGTAAGATTCTGTTTCTTTATGGTTATGTACCTCCTCCACTGGCTCTTATACTCTTTCTGCCCTCATTTCCACAATGGATCCTGTGCCCTGGGTGGAGGAAGCCCTGTCCAGGGACCCACATTCTGTAGACTCTTATTCTCTACATTTTGGCCTTTATATTCAAAAGGAAATCCTCTGTTCAGACTCAGTTGCAATGGATTCCTCCATTAAGGAGAAACACTGGCAGCTGACACTCTCTATGTATCACCATTCAACATGCCCCTCACAACTGCCGTGTCCTGTAAGCGCATCTCAATTAATTACACCATCTTTTAAACCATCTCAATTAATGTCCTGTAAGCTATAGCCACATATAATCTATGCTAGGCCACTCTCTATTTAAAGAATAAAAATTGAAAGTATATAAAATATCAATGACAGATTAGCATATGACAGAGGTTCTTTTCCAGTAAAATGAGGAAAATAAAAGTATGGAGCTGGCTCATTTGCTTAGCATGTGTGAGTCCCTGAGTCTGATTCCTAGCACCATAAAAATCCTAAAAAGCAAAAGAAATATTGATGTGTGGGAGATGCGCACAGCTTCTACAGTCATTTAGAGCACATTTCCCTTGAGTTCAGATGCTTTTCAATGTAGGATCAAGCTGATGGAGCTCTCTGCTCAGCTACATCTCTAGAAAGCACTTCCTGGCATCTGCAATCAGCTTCAGCCTCGTGGCTTGAGTATGAACCATGTTTCTGGAAACACACCCCATGAAAGCACAAGTACATAGTTCACAAGATAAGCTGCATCTTGTCCTTCTGCTCTTGTCACAGGACTCACCCTCTCAGAATGTAGCATCTTCTTCAGGAGGTGAAGAAAACTAGAATCCAGGTTAGAGAGATGGCTCAGCAGTTAAGAGCACTGACTGCTCTCGCATAGGACCCAGATTCAGTTCCCAGCACCCATATGGTAGCTAACAACCATCTGTAACTCCAGTTCCGGGGGCATCTGACACCCTCTTCTGAAATATTTTTTATTATTTTTATTTTGTGAGTATGAGGGTAGTGCCTGCATGTGTGTGAGTGCACCCGTGTTGTGAAAAGCTGCGGAGGTCAGAAGAGGGCGTCAGATTCCCCTGGAACTGGTGTTAAGGACAGTTCATAGCCACGATGTGGGTGCTGGGAATTGAACCCAGGTCCTCTGCGAGAGCCATCAGTGCTCTTAATCACTGAGCCATCTCTCCAGCCCCAAGAAAAATATTTTTTAAAAAGATAAATTACAGATATATCCCAAAAGGAAACATGATCCCCCAATTTTATGCATTTTTAGTTTCTTTGAGTTAATATTAAGTAAATCTGTTCTCTTGACTCTTGAACTTCAGAAATTCAGTAAGCAAAATATCTTAGAACAACATAATTTGTTTCTCTCCAGTGTGATTCAGGAATGAATTGAGAAAACAGAAAAAACAATGGTTATGGGGTGGGCAGATTGACAACGGAAAGAATTAGAAGTGAAAATGAGAAGGAATTCTAAAAGACTTTATTAAAAAGTATCCTTGTTCTGCTGGGCGTGGTGGCACGCACCTTTAATCTCAGCACTTGGGAGGCAGAGGCAGGCAGATCTCTGTGAGATCAAGGCCAGCCTCATCTACATAGCCAGTGCCAGGCCGGCTGGGTCTACAGGTAGACCCTGTCTCAAAAAGACCAGTTAATTAATTAATTAATTAATCAATCAATCAATTAATTAAAATGTATCCTTGTTCAGATCATTCTCAAATGCAATTCATACAACAGGAAAAAAAAACAAAAAACAAAAAACTACCTTTAGGATGAGAAACAGCAACAAAACATTTGTGCTCCAGGAGGGTGGGGCCTATCATTTGAAAGCAATATCTGAAATTCCAGACTGTGCCCCCCCAGTGGAGCTGAAGGAAGCCTGTATTTATAGTTACAGGATGCTCATTCTGCATGGCCCACCCAAGGTGGGATAGCTGGGCCACATGATCTCTGAAGTTCTCTCCATCATCCAAGGTTCTAGGGAGACATGACCCTGCTTTATGTCACTTAGCAGCTTTGGAGGCAGTTCTTGGAAAGACGCTCCCATTCTCCTCACCAAACATGCCTTCATTCACCCATTAACCAGTCTGTGGTTTGAGACA